GTTAACAGAGGGTGGAGTGATACTGGCAATGGCAGCGCTGTAGGAGGGGGGCAACTGAAAACGGAGGCCTCCACCTCTGTTTAATGATGGACGGTCTTTCTTTACAAAAATGGCTTCTTTTACTCCTCTCTCAAACCAACGTTCCTCTCTATCAAGAATGAGATGTCATGACATCTAATGGCCAGAACTCTGCAGTTTTCACTCATTTACAGGCCAGCGGTCACTCTTTCAGAGATGAGGATGTTCTCATTCTTGATAGAGAGGAACGTTGGTTTGAGAGAGGAGTAAAAGAAGCCATTTTTGTAAAGAAAGACCGTCCATCATTAAACAGAGGTGGAGGCCTCCGTTTTCAGTTGTCCCCCTCCTACAGCGCTGCCATTGGCAGTATCACTCCACCCTCTGTTAACAATAAGTGTTAATTATGTGTCAACGATAGCCATGTGATGTGAGTATCAGTCACATGGAGGCAGGGCTTAAAAGTCTGAATTTTGCCTGAAACTCTCAGACTGAAGAAGTCTCTTTGGAGGAGAGACAAAACGTTTCATTAGAGAAGAACCCGTCCAGAAGACCTATAAAAAATTTTTTTATACAGTATATAAGACTTTTAGATTCAGGAATTGCAAACACAGTAACAGATTTATACATGTGAAAAATCAAGCTAATTTGCAAATATTTAACAATATTACTGTCTTTCAATTGAACCCACCTTTAACTGATAATTCAGCAATGCTCTTTCCTCCATCAGGCATCTCACAAAGATATACTCCATCGTCGTCGGTTCCAACATCACGGATGGTTAGTCTTCGTTTGGTTCCTTTTTGATCCATTCCATATTTACTGCTGGGCATCAGCCTCTGGTCTTCAAGGTACCAGGCAGCAGGGATTGTTTCGTCAGGTACTTCACACTCCAGCACGGCAACATCCCTTTCCCTCACCTCCAGATCTTTTAATGGGCGTCGGAATCGCACAGTTGGACCTATAAAACATTGAAACCTAATATTTTGCAGTATGTGTGGTTGAGAAGCAGATTTGTGCTTTTATAATGTTAGTAATACCACTGAGTGCACCAACAGTCATGGCTTCAGTGTAGAAGCCAGAAAGTATCTAGAATAACATAAACATGTTGGGCCTCATGCAAGAAGCGTTCGAATGAACAGATTTGTTCTTAAGTTGTGCGTACGAGTGATTTAAGAGAACTTGTGGCATTCACCAGTTTTCTTATATTGTAAGGTTTTTTTCAGATACGAACAAAATTCAGGAGTGGTCCAGACCTGTCGTATATTTTACCTGCTGTCAGTCTGCTGTTATCCAGACTGATTTTCTTCACTAATAACTTTATATTTTGTTAGTTTGAAAATATTTTGAGTTGAAAATAAATATGATACTCCATAATTATGTTGACAGTAGGCTGTTCTGTTTGAATTGGAATTAGATTTTAAATGTATTAATGTAGACTAATGATATACTGTAAACCAGCTTAAATTATGCATTAATTGAAGTTTAATTTGTTTTAAAATGCTTTTTTCAGAATAGCATCTGACACCACTTGCAACGGTGGTGGGTGGGAGGGGGCGGTGCGACTGGCACATTTGTCTTTGGCTCTTCTAAATGAAAACTATTTAAAACAGTTGTTTACACTTGAATTAAACATATTTGACCAAAGGAAAACTGGAGCAGGACTAGAGAGAGATGAATATGATTTAGATTTTTATTTCTGTGGCATTACCAGCAGTCGTCATTTCATTCCTCGGCTTTAGCAGCTCCTTTAATTCCACAGCTGACCTGCTAAAAATGACAGATTTTCTTTTCTGGATCTCTGACAGACGGACTTCAATCTCTGAACTTGTATAGTTCTTCTTTTTTACTTTTCGCTGTCATTTTCATGAATGGACACTTCCTGATACCTGAGGCAGGAAACATAGCCTTATATGGTGTTTTTGGTGTGGTAATTACACTAATCTCCTCTCCTCGTGCACGAGCAGCTGGATTTGCATTCATCAGTTTACGCTGCTCATTTACACCCTTTTCCTGAAGTTAGAAACATTTGTTGAATCTGACGTGGCATGTTCGTACGAACCCTTTGTATGAACAAAAGTAAGAGGAATTTAGTATAAGAATATGAAAATGTTCTTGCGTGAGGCTCATTCTTGCATTCACTAAAATAAATACTGTAATAAATGTGCAGACATTATTAAAACTAATAATTTTTTTCTTTGTATGTATTTATTTTGAAAATCTATACTCATCTTATATCTATAAGAAATATCAGGACTTCTTTCCTTACATATTTCATTTCAGTACCATGATTTAGATCCTATTGATGTACTCCTACCCAATATTTGCAGATTTGTGCTGCGTTCAGACCGAACACAATTTGAGCTTTAAGGACAACTGGTTTAGTCTGTGGTAGGTGTGAATCAAGGGATGTCTACACTGTGCGTTTTGAAGTGTGTGGTGGAACTAATACTTTTATGTTTAAGCTAGTTATTCATGACATCCTTTAATGACCTAGATTTTCATGACATCATGACATCTGTTCATCTGCAGCTAGAATGATTAAAGTCAGAACAAGATTTGCTAACAACAGTCATTCTTAGATATCACTTGTGTTTATCTTTGTGTTTTCCATTGACCTTGTATCAAATCTTGCTAAGATGACATGATGGTGTTTGTTAATACTGTATATACTGTATATGAGGCCTCTCAACAGTGTTCAACAGTTCAACAGTGAGTAGTGTGGAGAGACAGTGACAGAGAGAAGCAGAAGTGTTTTCTGTTGTTGCAATAAAACTCAGCTGATCATCTCACGGAGTACCTTCATTCTTGGACCACGTATTTCTGTCTTTGTTAAATAAATATTGCCTTAACAGTTGGCGTTGTCAGGCAGAGACCACTAGGAGATCGACGGACCAAGGCCACATTGCAGGTGGACTGATATGAGTGAG